TAATTGATAATTAAATTATACCAAAGATATGATAAATAAATGTAATTCGGGACGCGCCGGAATATTTTATTGTAATTTTTTACCTCGTTTTATTAACGCTTTATTGGCCCTGCAATCGACTTTTTTAAATGCAATTAATTTTATTTTATATGTAACTTAATAAGACACGAGGTAGTATAATAATAAAATAAACGATCATAATAATATTTAAACGGCCATCGATGACCGTCACGGTATTCAACGTATTAAATATTTTCTCATTTTTCTCACTCACCGAAACGACTTGCAGGCAGAGTCGGCCATGTTCCGCTATTCAAATCTGAAACAAAAATATATTATTTTCCTGATTAGGTTCACGAATTTTTAATAAGTGCAGGTAAAAATGAATTAATCATTTGTAGTTGTAACTTAAATTATTTTGACAATCGCGTCTCAACTTTCGATTGCAAATAGTTAAATGATTGCAGGGAAATTATATTAGTTAAACAGTTATAGCGAGTACACGAATTTACCTTCAAGCTGACTCTACTTGGCCCAAACCGGATCCTCCGGTTCAGCAACTGCTGTAACTAGCATCTCCGTGACATCATCCGTATGTGGCCGCCTGCTCCACTAAACCTGGGACAGAAAACAGTTATCCTGATTAATTACTCGGGAGTTGGAGTTCATTCAGCCCAAGGGGAATCAAGGGAACTTGTAATTCTTTTGAAAGTTTAATAAAAATCAGACGAGGTAGTCCCCTATAAATTTTACCATGCTCCCATTATTCATGACGATCGCAGCGTTGATCGCGACGCGAACATTATAAATTTCTATTACGTCAGCACTAGCATAATAACAGAAACTAACGAAAAGCGAAAATAATGAAAAACGTTGCGCAGCGTCTTCACTCAGCAACCTATAGAAATGTTATGAGCTTAAGTCGAACGCGAGTATTTATCGCTTGAAGGTTACGCGTCTTTCAGTATAACAACACACATGAATATATAGTCATTACGGATATCTACATACACAAAATGTTCTAAAGTTATCATACATTATTTTAATTTACTTTAACATTCTTCCGGAATATAATTACTACGTTCGCTATCCGCGTTTACATTGAAAGTTGCTCGCTGTAGCCTACGTTATATTTTTAGTGACCATACATAATGTTGTAGTAGTGCATGTTTACGCTTAAGTATACATAAAATGCATTAAAAAGACAAACTGAGTATTTTACATAATGTTTCACGCATGTGCGACACTGGTAACAAATATATCAGAGCCGTGAGTTTTAATAGCTGAAAGAATGAAAATTTGCTTTTTGTATACAGGGAGAGGTAAGCTATTACTACTTTGAATATTTTAGAAAAACAAAAGTATTTTGCTAACGACTGGGTGAAAATGAAAAAAAAAATGTATATTTACAGAAGATATTCAAAGTGATGATTGATATCAATGCAATTAGTATTAGTTAAATTTTTCCCTCCCATTCTCATATTTCACAGATATTCAATTATTGTCTCACCTTGTGTGTCCTATCGACAATTAAATAAGTTATATAATCAAGTATTGTGCGGTAATATCGGCATCTCGTGTACATTACATGTCTCGACCGAACACCGTCGCGACACCATCGTCAAAATGCAATTTGAAATCCACTTTTAAATATGTCGCGCGTTACTTACACCGAAAAGGTAAACATTATGACATCCATCGTATTTATTCGGCGCAGCGAACTCCGCGGTATGCGTCATATATTATGCGATAAGAACGGTCGATCATAATTTGTATCTCGCCGATTTTCACCCCCGACTCACTTTACAAGAATGAATTTTTCACGCTCGGATTGGCTCGCGGCAATTGTCATTCGCGATTAACGAGTACATTCGTAACGGGTACATTGAAAACGGAATTTTACTGCAAACCAGAAGAGATAATCTACTTTGCGTTTGTGTTAATGCACACAGAAGCTGGTGCAGTAAATCGACGAATACATAATGTTCCGCATCGTTTCGTGTTTTTCGCGTTTTCGATCACGCGCAACGTACTGTCGCGGAATTATGCCTTTGTAGCGCAATTGGTTTAACGTTCGTTAATAAATCATGTGTGTAATGTTTGATCGAAATAAGTTAAACGATGCATTAAGCAACGCAACCCGGCGATACGAGAGATTATTAACGTGCCATAATTATTAGCGCGCGATTATTCAAGAGAATGAGTCAGCGTTTCCAAAATTTGCACAGTCACGCTTCGGCTGCGTTATTCTCATAAACGCGATTTTCGATTTTACTCTTCACGGATGCGAATTTAGTATTATCCGCATAATTACGCATCACCTCCCCCACTCTCGTTCTCGCCCCAACGTTTTAACACCAATCTAGCTAACGCAGCAATGTACGTCGCTCTAATGGACGTTAAGAGTACGAACGCCAGCATAGCTAACAACCGGCGAGCCAATGATTCGAGGCCATCATACATTCGATGTACATTAGCCATCGAACCACGATGCATTCAGCCCGCAGCATTAGGTTTGTAAACGGCTGATCAACTGCATACCGCTTGCGCGTATAATGTTAACTGGTTACCTGTAATTCAAAACCCGCCAGTTTGTAAGAAGCATGGTAACGCGGTAAAATAATGCGCGTATCGTTCCTTGTTACGAGACATTACGAACGAACGGATGAAAATGCGCGCTGCGTAACGGCCGTTCCGAAGGAATATCTCTATCGGTTAATAATAAATATCGCGCAACTGAAGTATCTCGGCGATTTAATCTAAGGGATTAGCCGGAGAAAATTTCTCGACTTTAATACTGTACAAACTGCGTGAGGGCACGTGAATTCGTGCGGTATTTACGTCTCTCTCTCTCTCTCTCTCTCTCTCTCTCTCTTTCTCTCAATCCTTCTCCAGCCGGTATTTAATGGCGGGAAGAAGTTGGCGGGAAAGTTAAAGGGCTAAACTTGCCGTTGCATTCCGACCTGTGTGCGAGACTTTCCGCTGGATTACCGATTAAAAGTTTAACAGCCCGAACTTTCCGAGCGACTTCGCACAAAGCGGCCGAAGTCGAATGGTTGCGCCGGTTGCGCGCGCTCTAAAAGGGGATGTTTTAAAAGCTGATTATGCATCAGTAACAACCCCATCGATTCGTTTCAACAGATTCCCGGGCGAGTTACTGGGTCTCGCGCGCGCACGGCGCGTCATCGCGGCGCGCGCCGCCACGTACAGGACCGTTCGAGAGTTCGTCTTTCGTCTTTTCTTTTGCCGAAAGTATTAACCGAACGAAAAACTTCATGAAAGTAAAACACGCTCGCCCCGCGTTATGAAAGCACCGCATAATATTAGCATACCTTCTCGGCCGCATGAAGCATATCTCCATGATAGAGCACGTCGAATATCGCGCGACCAACGATGAGCGGGGGTTGAGATTGATGGAATTTTTGAGTCCGTCCAAATATTCAGTCTCTCTCTCTCTCTCTCTCGCTCCCTTTCTCTCACCTTCTCCTCTGTTCTCTCTATATCCATCGCGTCAACGGATGTGATACTTTATACCTCTCGCGTTACTTACGCCTCACATATTCGTGTATTACTTGAACTACGATGCACGCGATGCATCGAACGCGCGCGTAACACCGATTTACGAAGAGTACACGTTTGGTATAGTCGTTATAGATACATATATAACAGCGCATTTAGCGGATTCTTGGAAAGCTTTGTTTTCAGAAAAACGTTTGTCGCCGCGCAGAACTGAGGAACGACCCGTGTCGCGCGCGAGAATAAGTCAGCGGAAAAAGCTGAAATATTATCTTTTAAAAGCACGAACATTAAGAGCGTTATGAAGTTACGTAACAAAGGAGAAGTTTAGGTGCCAAGAATATTAAGTTCTCCTAGCGGCGTGCGCTCGGGACGAAAAAAATGGAAACAAGAAAAGTGAAGGAAGAAGAAAAAAACGGAAAATAAAAGTGCCAGAGATGTGAAGACAAGAAAAATTAAAGCCTCGACGTTCTTGGCGAGAAAAGAAAAAAAAATATATATATATATGTATATATGTATGTATATATGTACGTACGTACGTGTATATACACCTACATTTAAGATATACCAAAATGGATGCTTTCAAAGTGCGTTGAGCTGAGACGATATTTGCATATTTATTTGCAAAGTACAATTCCACGCACTTCGCGGAATGACGTGGAGTTCTTTCGTCGCAATACCGGCAAACGTCAGGGAGAGTGAAACAATGAGAACGTTCATGGACGCAGGAGGAGCACTCCCCCGACGTCGTCGTCGTCGTCTTGTGTCCAGAAGAAATTTCCGAGTGAAAACAGCGAAGCTATTCCGGCGACCGCTGCTTCTTCTAGTCCGCGCAGTTCTCCACTCGGGGAGCGAGAGTCCCCGTTACATTCCTCCCTCATCTGCATTTCGCCCGCCTTTATATACCTTCCTTCTCCTTATTTCCGCGCCGTCTTTATGTAGCGCGCCGGCGGAGGAAGAAAAGCACTTCGCTTGTGTAGATATTTCTCTTTATGTACACTTGACATGTAAAAATTTCAACGACGACAATAATTCGTGCCGTTTGTATGCGGAGTTTCAGATGGTAGCTACCATTGTATTATCGTGCATCCGAGCGTGATAAACAGGTTAAAGGAAGATGAGGCAGGATTGTAAGATTGTAAGATAAATACGTAATATCGCGGAAACCACTAACCTGATGCGGAGTGAAGTTAACGTACTATACTGCGAAGTTTCTAACCGTTCCGATCTGCAACGCGCGATTAATTCCCCTCCGAAGTAACCATTTGTCAACAAATGTAAGAGAACAAAATAACTAAGATGTCGCCACGCGGATTAATGTAAGGCGGCGCATAAGTGTATGTGAAGTTGTTTGAAAACGATACAACTTCATAAACTATCTCGAATAACCTCCAATGTGACAAAATTCCAGGTCGTATTAATCCGCATCTTAATAAAAATCAAAACGCAATACTGATTTTTCATTGTTGCGGCGTCGAAGAATCATGAACACGAATCATACTTGCACGAAGAGTCGTCGTCCCACGCGTTCCGCCGACACGGAATCCTTGTATGACGAAGTGTTACACAAAATCGACGATAGCATTTTATCCGTCAAATTAACTAAGAACAAACATCGCATAGAGACTACAGATAAATACACAGTCAAGCCTGTCAAACCTTCCATTCTTGTTAATTGCGTGGATAAATATGGTAAAGCCATTAATCTTATCAAAAGCAGCAGAGAGAAAAACAATAACGCGAATATATAATTTCAATTTGTTAATATCGCAAACGAACAACGGAAATATTGATATCAATATTCTGAAACTTAGTGCAATAAATAACTGCTATACACATATCTCTTTATAAGGTAACGAATGCAAGAAAGATTGTCCGAAAGTCAAGGTAATACACAATCAACCACCTCCTCCGAAAAAACCGGAAGAAGAAATGCTCATACTACAATCAATACAGCATATTACTCCCTACAACGATTTGAAACACAGCATTGAGGTGGAATTTAAGTCGCCACGGAATTATATTCCGTTACCAGAACCTGGGCCATCCCCACCCATAATCGTTCCAAAAGAGACCATTATCGTGAAACCGGATAAGCCGAAAAAGAAGTAAAACGATAAAGATAAACATCCGGGCAAAGTTTGTGAGCACCATCTGCGAAAAATATTTTATTCGTGTAAGTAAGGCATCTCAAAGAATATTTAATTTGCATGAAGCGGAGGCAACGACAAACACGGAAAAGTGCCTATTTAATACAAAAAAAAGCGAAGCTAATAAGGAACTTTTTTTTTTAATCGCCACTAATTTCCAGGGTATGTGTGTGTTTTAATAATAAAAATTAATATTAAAAATTTTTTTAAACGTATACATCCTCTTTTAAACGTATAAACTCTTTTAACATTACACTGAGAAATTATAGTTATTTTCGGCATTAACCGAGATCTACCCTTTTTATGGTTTTAACCATAAAAATGGTAGTAACAATATGCATATAAAGTTATTAGCAGTGATATTATAGTAATAATAAAATAGTTCTCTCAACTATAATTCTTTCACTATGATAATTATAATTACAAATATCAAATATTTTTCTCTCAGTGTAGAATCGTGGCAATTTTTCTTTTCTAGAATTGCGAATGGGTAACTTTTGATTCGCTTCTTCTTTGTAATCATCCGTAGATTTTTTTAACTTTATGATATTGTTTAATTGTTTTATAGTAAAGAAGGCTTCCTAATGATGAAAATCCAAAGAAATGGGAAAGAACGAACCTATAAATGCGTCCAAAAGTAACCCAGTTGCGGTTCTAGTGTTATATGGAAAACAAGCGGAACGAAATCAATCGATTCAATCTCCCGGGAGCTGTTGCAATTTATCAGAAAAATTTGGCACAACAATAATAGTCATCGAGATGATACCTTCATACCTTCCGCCTGCCGGCATAAATCGAGTTCGGCGTTAGGCACGAGCGTCTTATAGATTTACGAGTCTCGCTAAACTGAAGTGTTCGCCACTTTGTCGAAAAGGCGAGGGCAAGAGGCGCGGAGTCGAATAACGCGGGGCGATAAATCACCGGTATTATATTCTTGCTCGTCTTGGGAAACAATAGATCATATCGCGCATACGGATACGCCGGTATTAAACGTTTTTGGTTCCATTGTCGCCCGACGAGCGCGCGCCGTGCCGGCGGCGGGGACCTTTTTAAGCCGCGCGCGCTTTAAGTTTCCACCCTCGCCAATAAATCACGACGATTTACCTGCATGGTAAGAGAAACGCGAACTTGAGCGCGTTCAAAGGGTATCGTCCCTTCCCCGATAAAGGGTTGAAAAAGGAAGGATCTCCGCAAATATTCCATTACGACGCACGCTAAGAGCCGGTGTAAAGTATCACTCGAGGCTCTCGTATTGCGTCCAACGAGGGAAACCAGGAAGCCAAGGAAGATGTGGTAACGGGAAGGAAAAGGTCAACGGAGACCGCGAGAGGATCGATAACTCGTTGAGGAAGGGAAAGAGATGACAGAGAGCTACATTTTGACCGATGTAAAATATTCATCGTTGGTTGGTGAAGCGAAATTGAAAAAGCAGTCTCTTGCGCGCGAATCTTTGCGATAACAGTAGTTAGAGAACTTTCAGATCTCGCTCTGATTTTCTCTCTTTGTGTCCTTTTATTAGCATAAAATAATGAAATTAATGCTGAAATGAAGCCTCATTGAATAATGTCCCTTCTCCGATGTATACATGTCCTATATGTCCACATTTCTTGTACTCTCTTGAAGAATGAAGAATCAGACCTCTCTGGGCTCCACTTATTCCCGCTACGTGATATCCACGACTCTAGATCTTCGCGACTCAAGCTTTGACTTTCATCCCCTCTCACATGAATCAGGCGTACTTACGAGCGACATGATTTGCAGCAAAAAAAATGGGGAGAAGGAGCAAAGGTAACGGCGGAGGGAAGCCGATAAAAGATCGCGTGCGTGACATTGTCGCGGTGACGTAACCGGTGACGGATCATCCTTGGGGAAAAGGCACTGTAGTTACACTCCAAGATTTGGGAAGCGCACTACTTCGGTGACGAGGGTAGCGGCGCGAAAGATACATCCCACAATCGAGGAGGTGGGAAAGGAGAAGGGAGATAAAGTGATGAAACGCGTCATTTGTTCGCAGACCCGAAATACTCACGGCGCTCAACATGAAGAACATCCGATGCGGTTACGAAGCCGTAAAAGCCTGGCAACGACAAATGCATCCGCGTGTTGCGAAGGCGCGCGAGTACACGCGCAAACGTTGGCCCGTGCAGCGGACGGCTGTAATTGGCCGCTGGTTACAGAATTCATTGCCGCGTTTAGGGCCTTAAACGACCGGGAGATATATCACGATTAAACGTGACCATCAGTTTGGACTGTAACGTGCGATGCCGTGTGAAACAGCATTCAAGTAGGCGTAAAAAAATTAACGTGCGTCCATATACATACATATGTATGTATATATATTACATGTATATATACGAATGTGTATATATGCACGTACGCACGTAAAATTAGCGTAAAACTCGCATGAAACTTCGAGATGCGTGATGATGATTTTTACATGTTTTAAATTAAACCGCACGCGAGTTCCCCGGCGATGTTTACCGCATTCGTTAATATTTTCACGCGTTCTGCATTATGCATTAAATTACTGTTTGCGATTAATCCCATTTGCGAAATATAAACGTTATCGCGTAAAGCACAATATCCCCCCCCCCCCTCCTCTCTTTCACGCAGAGTACACATACGTTCACTACCGTAGGATTCTCTCACGCCCGTGTTGTATTCTCGTAATATGCACGCGTACCCGTAATCTGGCGCAACCAGGGGCAGAAATTTCGTTGCCGCATTTAAGACCAGCCTAACCATAACACGGACTGGCTGAGTATCGAATTCGACGTTGGGCAAAGCTGGTGGAACCGCAATTTACATGCACCACGTACTGCCCTTAACGCAGCGTGCTATAGTCGGGCTAATGGAGGAGTCTTACTACAGACAGAATTGATGATCGCGATACTATGCCTGAATCCATCTATTGATAATGACATGAATATATCATAAAACAATATGACAGTAATCGGATATTTTTTATCCACATATCGGATAAAATCGCACATCTCTCTGCGTGTGCAACAATATTTAAAGTCTCAAACGCTATAGACCCAACGAATTTCGAAAATAAATCGACTTTAAAGTTCGACCAAAAGAATCTATCGTCCAAATTAAAAGCGAACATAGAACGAGATACATTGTACGATGAGGGCTATCGTATTTCGACGCGAGTTCTGAATATCAACGCGAAAAAGTGCGACCAAACGTCCATACGCAATGTTCCCCATTTTTTTCCCACTCAATTTTATATCCAATTTTGGTATTAGATTAAAGCACTCACAAAACTGATTAGAAATATGTCCTGAGGTGTAACGATTTACCGTTCCAGAGAGAATGGGCTCTAAAAATTTCAATTTTGACAAATGGCGATTATTTCATTTGTCAGGATTGAAATTCACTTTTTGGAACCTATTTTTTTCTGGAACAGTAAATGGCCTTAAAACATGTATATTTGTAACCAGGTTAGTGAATATTTTAATCGAGTGGAGAGAAAATAGAACATTTTAGCAAAACTCTTTGTCACACCTGCCGTTCTCATTTCAAAAAAAGCGTGACAATAATATTATTTAGAAGAAGTAAGGAATAATGAGATTTAGAAACGCATACCACGAACACAAAGTGAAGAGCTAAATGAAAGTGCACCTCTAATAGGCTTGTAAACATTATAAAAGTCTTCGTAATCTGTTTCGGCGTAGGAGCTTTTTATCCTTATATTCCGAATAAGCGGCTTATTCGCTAACGAATATCAAAGACAACACGTGCATTCGGAAATCTGATAGCGACTCCGATACGAGATCGGTACGCAAAATGATTTCCGCGATTCGGTGCACGCACACGCTCCAATAACGAGCGCAAATCCGTGCGCACATGAGTCCGCACGTGCGATGGAAAAGCTTGAAAAAAAGAAGAAACGAGTAAAAGTAAATCTGCTGACAACTCGGCTCGCTTGAAGCCTCTTAAACTATCTAAAACACAGGTTATCTTTTTCATTTGCAAAAACGTGGGATCAAGCGTCACATGCGAGGATTTGTACAGTTATACGCACTTTATAGCGGCATCGAGTTTAATCGTTTCAAGTTCGTCGCGTTAAGTTCTGCAGCACGGAACTACGTATACGGAATCGGTGGTGGTGCTTTAAGCACACAGAATGCAATGCAATGCGATCGTGAGAGCATTCGCATGTAGTTTAAATGGTCTCCCCGGTCCATTGTATAATTCAATAAAATTTGAATTCATCGACTCGAATCGCCGACTCGCCTCGCGCGTGCGATCGTTTAGCAACGGTTCGTTTCACGCGATATTGCCTTGCGTGCGACTTATACATTTACATCGTTTTGATTACCGGTAAATTCTTGAAAAACTGTATATGTTGGTCTTGCATAAAAATTGCATGCTTTCAATATTTCGGCAAAATTGTATTTCGGGAGATCATTGCAGTACTCAGTCGGGATTACGATTTTACGGATAATTGTCTTTCTTCTCAAATTTCAAGACCGATTTTTCGAGACAATGTATGTCCACCAAGAGAATGGTTTCTGATCTCTTTATATTTTATCTCTTAAATCGTAATATTGAGTGCCCTAACTTATTAGAATCAATGCAACTGACTGTTTCGACAAGATTTTTAAGACATTTCCAATTTTTCATGTCTAATTTTTCATGTTGAGCATCACCGAGCTTTATATGGCATGAATTCTCTGATAAAATTATACATAACTGTTAATTTATTCTCAGTTTCAGAAGTTTATTATTCAATGATAGTAGCTGTTTTGCGTTTAAATATGTCGATATGCTAATCCTTGCTAATCACCATACCTCTCCTCCTATTTTACTTTATCTTATATATGATATATACTTATCTTACTTTATATTGATTTTATTTCTTTACAATTTCACTCTTCTTTCTAATGTATTCGGTTGCCTGTCCATCTGCGATATTTACTCAATTATTTATGCTAAAGAGTCACCCTGTGA